ACCCTGTTGTGTGGGTAGCCTGCTCTGGGGGATCCTCTGTGCAGGGACTCTTCTCTATAGGTACCCTTGTATTGTGGACCCTGCTTTGCAGGGTACTATAGTATAGAGACCCCTGGAAAGAGTTACAGTGATTCCCTAGGACCCAAGGCAGTGAACTCCAAGTTCAGCAAAAGAAAGCGACCCAGGTAACCATAGCCCACAGTCTTTCTTTGTAAACACAGTCAGTCTCTCCAAACTCCCAGAAGTGCCTGGCTCACTGATGTTAGGGTCTGGAGGTTAGTTGGAGATCCTCACTATTGCTGTAGAGTCTGCAGGTCCTTGAGCTGGTGTGAAGATGTTTCAGAATCTGTCCTTCAGGGCTCATCTCAGGTCAACCCAAGGGCAGTTAGCGACCCTAAGAGGAGCAATGATCCAATCTGCACCCAGAGGTCAGGCATGGCTGGTGCTAGACTGTCTCAGGCACCAGGCAAGGCTGAACCGGCCAGGCTCCCAGCTCCCTCTGCTGTCTGCAGACTACTCAGCCTGACCTCCTGCTCCTACCGACCCCTTCTCTCTCCTGGTCCTCAGCCTAGCTCTTCTTCGGTTTGCGCTGCCCGGACCAGAAGGCTGGCAGGCGTTTGGGCGCCCCCTTCCGTACACATGCCTTTTGCAGGGTCCCAGCAAGCCCTGAAATCTGACCCTCTTCCTCACAGACGGGCTGTCCTAAGCCCCTGGCTGTTCAGATTTCTGACTTTCTGAGCAAAAATCTGTGGGAGGGGGAAATTTAACCTGTGCCTTCCCCCAGACCCTCCCAAACAAACTTCAAGTAATCAGGGAAGTCACCGGGACCCCAGGACTTCAGCTCTCTAGCAAGAGACTTCAGCATGTAGTTGAATCTTCCTCAGTTTTCAACCCAGGGTCAGGCCAAGGCCAAGACCTCAGTATTTAGGTATCAGAGTCCACTGCTGAGAAGGAATGAGAAACATCCCAGAGCAAGATGCTATTACATATTTCAGACCAGAAAAGCAGGCTGTGGGATCAGAAGAGGGGACCACCTAGTAGAATGAAGAGGGCATCAACTCCTCAGGAATCGGAAGATGAGACCCTCTGCAGTGACAGCCCTGCCACCAGGGAAAGTGGTACCATGCTGTCTGCTGTCGGAGGACTGGAGACTCACAGAGAAGTAAAGGAAGTTGGTAGAAACCGCAGGAAACAGGTGTGGTTCAGGGCTCATGGAGAAAGAGAGCCAGGCAGGTACTGGCTGAGGTGAGGAGACTTCACTGACCCGGAGCGACAAAGGTAAAGAACACAGGCATTAGGCCCCAGAGAGAGAGGCAAACAAGTGGCCTTGCCTACATGATGAGGCACCTGCTATCTGACACCTCCAGGAAGTACAGCCTGCTCCCCTACTCTGTGTGGGGTACCCACATAGTCACATTTGAGGATGCACGCACATGCAAAAGTTGCACAGGCATGAAAAGGCACATGTGCACACATGCATGAAAACACACACTGTCTGAGAGGTAAGAGGCCATCTTGACCTCCAGGCAACAAGGCAACAATAAGGATTTTTTACTCTAACCTCAACAGCGGTGTGTCAAGGCCATGGGCCTGACACAGCAAGAACCATGTCTTGATTTCACAACACAACAGTTCCCATGTACCTAGCCTTGCCTGGCAGGGTTCTTAAACATTATGTGCATCCTGGAGGCCCTGGCAGTTGAGGGTTGTGCTCAGGCTGGACTGCCAACCTCTTCAAGCGGTGCTTGACTGGAGCCTGTGCTTTCCCTAACCCTGCTTCACTCCTAACCACAGCCATAGCCTTTGCTTCATGTAAGGTCCACGGGGTCTGATAGTGGCCAGAACCAGACACAGCCTTGTCTGGCAGGATGGGGAGGAGGCCCACTCTCCTCTAGCACACTATAGATGCCCTCTCCTGCCTTTCCTGCCCCTGCCCATCACAGAGTGTCCAAACTATGTGTGGAGGTTAAAAGCTTTCTGTGCCCACCTCTTCTGGAACCATGCTATCCTGTCTCCATCGCTGATGCCTCTGCAGGACCAGGGTTTGCATGCATGGGGGAACAGAAAGCCTGAAGTATGCTGTCTGCCTGAGCTGGGCCTCCATCAACCTCCCTCTCCTCATGTATCCTGCTGAGATTCCCAAGCTTTGGAAACAGCCTCAAGGGTTGAATGGATATACCTGATGTTCCAGTCCATCCTAGGAGAGTGATCAGGCATGTGCTATGCCAGGCAGTGGGGTCAGCCTTGAGCCTGTGACTCCCAGCTAGGTAGGCCCTCAGGGTCCCTTTATCTCCAGTTACTGAGCTGGTATCTGAGTCACAGAGGTATTTAGGCCTGTATCTGATCCTGGGGATTTGTGATTAGGGGCCTCCTCCCCTTGGCTTTGCTTGCTAGCCTCTGGGTGTTTGCAGACACCTGGTCAACATCTCCATACCTGTGGTTGAATTTGGGTTTCTGGGTCATCCCAGACCCAAAGTATGCTAGTGCACCCATGTGACCCTACATCCTTGTGAGCCTCAGCACAGAGTCAGGAACCACTTGGTGTGGGTCCCCACCTAAGAGCTAGCCATGTAACTAACTATATTGACTTTTCTTTTCTGTAGCCAGGAGCAGTATCATCCCCTATCTCTGAAGGCTGCTGTGACCGCTAGATGAAGGCACATGGTGGAAATGGCAGCTGAACATTAGCATTGCTCCCACTGCCCATGAGAACACATTACTTTGCAGGCTGTTGCAGTGTCTGCATGGCCTGCCATTTCTTCCCCAGGCTTTACCTACTAACAAATCACTTCCTCACTCCCTTCCCTCCATCCATAGACTCACCCATTGTCTGTCTATCCATCCACCCAGCTATCAACCCCACATCCAACCATATACCCATGCATTCACTCATTCATCCATCCACGCATCCATCTACCTACATACACATTCACATCCATCTATGCAGCTGCCCATCATACATCCACCACCCACCTACATACCCATCCATCACTCCGTTTAGCCATTCCTCCGTTCATCTCACTCACCCACCCATCACCCTTTCTCCACATTTCCTTTCCATTTTCTTCCCTCCTTCCTTCCTTTTCTCCTTCCCATGTTTGCTACATGTCATCCTGGTTCACAGGCCCATTTCCCTGATCAGAGAAGTTGTTGGAGACACTAGGCACTAAAGACCAACCTGCTAATGAAATGGCTGTCCATGGTGAGCTCCCTGCCTTGGCATGGGTGTGAAAGTCTCCACAGGAAGTCTGAACATAATCTGACCTCCCATGCCATTTGGGTTCTGGTCAGGGGGAATGGGGCAAGCCCTGCAAGCCCCCACCAAGGAGTTACCCCAAAGGCCAGACGCTTTCCTGTGAACCCCCTCACATGCAGCCAAGGGTGTCCTCAGATTACTGTGTTGTAAGTTGCTTGAAATAAAGTCCCCCTGGTGGTTAAGCCTGCCAAGAGGTACAGGTCCTGACAGCCACCATGTCTGCCCTGCTGCTCTTCAGTCTGGTCTCACTGTATCATACTCATGTAAACTATATCTACAACTTTGAATTCCAAGTGACAAGAGCCCAGTAAAGTCCCTGCCTCCCTGCTCTTCTCCTGCTCATTAGGCCATCATTTCTTTTTATTCATTTACATATTTTTGTGTCTGAAGGATGTGCATGCCTATGTGGAAATGCACGTATGAAGGCCAGAGGATCTCAGGTATAATTTCCTCAGACACCACCCAGGTACACACAAATAAATAAATATAATTTTAAAAAAGAAGAATCAAAGGAAAAAACACAGCTCAGGAGCTACAGGACACAGACTTGCAGCCTGCTGACCAGAGCTGAGCTCCTGGCCACAGTCACCTGCAGAGGGCGAGGGTGTGCTGGAGGCTGCAGGCATTTGATGAAAGAATGTACATCACACCGACATTCTGCTAGTAAGGAAAAAGGAATACTGGGGTCCAGTGCCAGTATAAGGCGAGAAGGCAACTGTGACTGATGGGCACACTCAGCAGCCGTTGGTGTGGGCACATTTCCTTCCACTTTATCACAGCTCTCTAAAGGAGAAAAAATCCCACAAGCAGGGAAGGTCATGCAGGGGAGGGTAGTGGTGCAGGGGTGTCTGCTACATGGCAAAGAGACTCCAGAAAAACACAAGGAAAAGCAGGTAGCTAAATCATAGGAGGGCAAGTGACCCAAGCAGGCACTCCACAGCACAGGGCACCCAATTATTTGGCAGGGCAGGGTGGCATTTCTGGGGATGGAACCCAAGGACTCATGGGCCCTGGGTAGGCTCTCTAGCACTGAAGTACTCCCCAGGCCTCGTTTTACTTTTTATGTTGAGGCAGGGTCCAAGTTAGCCTTGAACTTGAGATTCCCCTGTATCAGCCTTCCATGTAGCTGGAATGAGAGCCTGAGCCACCAGGCCTGGCTGCTCATCGAAACTGTAATAAGCATATGGCAAGGTGCTCATTTGAGAAAAGGGAAGTTCAGTTTACAACAGGAATAAACAAGTATCTGGTCAGCAGTGACTCCAAAGCCCGTCTTTCCAGGCATGGGAAGGCCATGATCTGGTCAGAAGAGACCCAGCAGACCCAGGCTACTAAGATGCACATATGGCCAATGCACTAACTCGTACCACACACTTTGGACAGTGTAGAGGTGTGGAAATTATTCATGTCTTTAAGTGTTTGCATGGATGTGTGTTTTGCAATAGCTAATGCACGTGTTATGAGCATTGTTCTGATATCCCAACATAATAAAAAAGAATGAATAAAAGCATGTTTGTTTCTTTTTTGCTTTGTTTTCCTTGGGGAGAGGAGTTTTGTTTGTTTGTTGAGACAGGGTTTCTCTGTGCCCTGGCTATTCTGGAACTCCATTTGTACATCAGACTGTCCCCAAACTCACAGAGATCCTCCTGCATTTGCTTCCTGAGCACTGGGATTAAAGGCATGTGTTACCATGCCTGACTATGTATGTTTACTTCTTAAATTCTTATTTTGACAGACAAATTTTAAAAAATACATGGAATGCTTCATGAATTTGTGTGTCTTCCTTGTACAGGGGTAATGCTAACTTTCTCTGTATAGTTCCAATTTTAGCATATGTGCTGTCAAAGCCAGTATATTAGATTCTTAAGATGCTAAAGATTTTAGTTACTTCACCTGGGTTTGTGGAGCTGTGCACATGAATGAGCACCCAGAACCAAGAGCAAAACACCCTCCAGGAGCAGGAAGTCTAAGGTCAACCCAGTCAACTATCGGGACATCACCATGCCCATCAATTACATTTGTATTCATATGTACATGTATGCATATGTGCATGCATAAACTTATGTATGTGGTATATGTGTATGTGAGTGCATAGGTTCATGTATGTGTAGTATATATATGTGGTATGTGTACACATGTGTGCATGAGCTTGTTTGTGTGTGATGTTTATATGTCTGTGAACATGAACTCTTGTATGTATTTAGGATGTGTATGTATCAGTACATGTTTGCACATATTTTTGCTTGTGTATTAATGTGTAGGTTTGTGTTTCAACATGAGCTTTCTTGCCACTCTTGACATTATGAAGTCCCAAGTATGGTCCATGTCTACAATGTTTTACAGGAAACTATTAGCTTGTTCCCTTAGAGTCAGGCCCTTGTGGGTTCCCACAAGCCCAGGGTGAAGCCTCAGTTCCACATCCTGCCCAGCTCTTGGAACTGCCTGTTTTCTAGCTGTCAGTCATTCTGAGTGGCAGGAGGTGAGAACTGGTTTCTATTTTAATTTCCATAATTGTCAGTGTGTTGAGTGTCTGCTGCAGTTGGTTTTGAAATATCCCTCACATGCTCAATTGTTTGAACATTGATCCCCAGGGATAGTGTTGTCTGGGAAGCTAGGGAATTTCTGGGAGGTGGGACTTGATTGGAAGCTGATCACTGGAATAGGGAGTTATTGTGTGACTTTTCCAGGGGAGTTATGAATAAATGTCTATTCATCCCAAGCACATCACAGACAACAGACCAAAAGTCTGTTCAGCTTAGTGATCCAGTGAGATTAGGGTGCAACTGACAGGAGTATGGGCAAGGGTGTAACTTAAAGTCAGCTGCAGCACCGACATGACCACTCCAGCATCAGTGACAACTTGGTAAAGCAGCATCCCTGGAGCTCCCTGCACAACATGTAGGCAGTTCCATGGAAGACTCTCCTTTTTAGCCATCATTATTGTTCACATAATCTCAGGGTGAAGGGGGGCTTCCAAGTCTTACGTTTCATGGTCTTCCAGAATCTTGTAACTTCCCCTTACATCTTTGATTTTAAACAGACTCATAAGGAGCAGCTGCACAAATGAAACCTTGAGGGTTACAGTCAGCCTAGGATATCTAGCAACTTTACTTTGCTTCCTGGTTGGCTAAGATGTGAACAAGCTGCACACCCCACTGTCGCCATGACTTCCTCCACAATGATAGACTGCATCACCCCAGTCTCTTAGCCAAAGTAACCTGGCTTTGTTGACGTTGCTCATTCTTTGGTATTTGTTCACAGCAACAAGAAAAGTGACTGCTGCTGTGTCTCTGCCTGTAATGTGTGTGCTGCTGATAAACTTGCTTAAATATTATTCCTGATGTTTTGAGTTCTTTGCTTCCTTCTTAAATTTTGAGAGCCCATAACCTAGTCTTGTCACAAATCCATCATTGACTAAGTGAGTCGCAAGTATTACCTCTAAGCCATTGGATTGTCTGTTACTATCCCTTTTCTTTTTTTTTTCATTAAAAGCAAATTTTCACTTTAAGTTTTATTTATTTATTTATTTATTTATTTTGTAGAAGTATGACCTCCTGTTATGGCACACATGTGGAAGTCAGAGGACAACTTACAGAAGTCAGTTTTCTCCTTGCATGGTGTGGTCCTGGGGAGTGAACTCAGATCACTAAGCTTAGTGGCCAGCACCTTTTCTTACTGAGTCATCTTGCTGCTACAAAAGGGATGTTCTATTACGGTGCACAATAGCTTAATGTGAATTGCCTTTGGAAAGATAATGCAAAAACAAACAGGAGGAATAATAAAAACAAATATATTACATTTTAGAAGAAAATAATTGCTTGCTCAAGACTTTGTTTTAAAAGGGGAAATTTAGAGGTGTGTCAAGCATTTTAAACCAAAACAAATTTTTGTTATTCTTTTAGCATGATGAAAGAAGAATAGCACACTCCCTGAGTGAATCAGTGTCATTAAGTTAGCCACCTGGGCCACAGAAGCACTCTGAGAAACACTGATCTAAGCCACTCTCCAACAACTCTTCTTTAACCCACTTTACTGTTGTATGCTTTAATTATTCACCCCTCCTCCTCCTCCTCCTCCTCCTCCTCCTTGTCCTCTTCTATTCTTCCTTCCTCCTTTTCCATTCCCCTCTTCACTGGGTCCAGCCTGACTTGGTCCCGAAAACCTGACTAGGACAGCAAAGAAATGAAGAAAGTACAGTTAGTCTCTCTCTCTCTCTCTCTCTCTCTCTCTCTCTCTCTCTCTCTCTCTCTCTCTCTCTCTCTCTCTCTCTCTCTCTCTCTCTCTCTCACACACACACACAGACAGAGACAGAGACAGAGACAGAGACAGAGACAGAGAGAAAGCTGGAATCAGGGGGGCTATGCTCACTCTGATGCAGCGGCACCAGCCTTTGCAGGTTTATTTCACACATCAGGAGAAGAGAAATGAGCTAGTCTCTAATTAAAGGTCTCTGTAGGGGAGCTGTCTCAGGTTATAGTCATCTGGGAGGAGGAACCTGCAGTTGCTCAGTTTCTTGTTTGTTTGTTTTGTTTTTTGCATACACTTGCAGACAGATGTTTTCTTTGGGCCATCAGCTCACAAAAATCTACACAGAGACTTATCGGTTACGAAAGCTTGACCTTAGCTTACTCAACCGGAGGAAGGCATGGGTTTGAGGCCTTGAGGTTCTAGTCAATAATGCACAGGACTTCATTCACTCTATATCCACTCAAGGCTTTCTCAGCTCCCCATGCCACTACTACCACGTCCCGCTGCTCTTTCCCTCCATTTCCTCCTCCTCTTCTTTTTTCTTTCTTTAGCGCTGGGGATGAGAAACTGGGTCTCGGATATGCCAGGCAAGTGTTCTCTATTGAGCTGCACACTCACACATTTCTCTTTCTCTCTCTCTCTCTCTCTCTCTCTCTCTCTCTCTCTCTCTCTCTCTCTCTCTCTCTCTCTCTCTCTCTCTCTCTCTCGTCAGTCAATGCCTTTGGAAGAGCAAACATTTTCAAAGTCAACAAAGCCATATGCTTACATTCTCATCTGCCACTTGTGTTTTCAGTCCCCGAAGCTCTCTGTTTGTTACAATTAAGAGATTGCCTTTAGTGGCAGAGGAAACTGGACTTTTAAACCACATTTGTTAAACTGTATTTGTGGAATCAGCTATGGACATTCTATTACATTTGATTGACCTTCACTGATGGCACAGGGTGTCGAGTACCACAGCTGCCTAGTAAATACATTCTACTTGAAAAGCAGGTGGCAGGACCCCACTAATGTCCTTTAGAAACTTCTTGGCTCTTTTAGATTCCACACATGTTTTGGAATCCTACTGGCATCTTGATGGGCTTATATTAAGTAAATCTCTAGAGGAGTTAAAAGATGGTTGGTACCGACAGTTCTGAGTCTCCTGATTGCTGAGCACAGAGGCCAGGCTCTCAGTTCATCAAGCATCTCTGTTCTCTTCATTGACTTGTCCTTTTCCTAGCTCAATCCTTACCTTTTCCAGGAGCAGCAGGCATCCCTGGGGATCACAGCACTGTTGCTCAGAACCATGATGCTGAATCTCATGTCCCATTGAAAAGGAGCACTGCAGAGGGGTGCTGTGTGACCAACAGGGTTACATCCCCCAGCAAGCCCAGACTTAGGGAACTCCAGTCTCATAAGGGAGCAGCCCTCACTGTTTCCAGAACTGGTGGAGGACTGTATTCACCCTCCAGGAAAGTCTAACTTCTGCCTGTCTTTTTTTTTGCATTTTTAGAAAAGATTTATTTTTGTTTCTGTGTTTTGTGTGTGTCTATGTGTTGTGGGGTATCCACCAGCGAAGGCTGCTCAGACATGAGGGGTTTTTTTTGTTTTTGTTTTTGTTTTTTCGAGACAGGGTTTCTCTGTATTGTTTTGGAGGTTGGGGTGGAACTAGCTCTGTAGACCAGGCTGGCCTCAAACTCACAGAGATCCACCCGTCTCTGCCTCCGGAGTGCTGGGATTAAAGGCATGCGCCACCAACGCCCGGCTCAGACATGAGTTTAAGCCAATAGAAAGTCTTTATGAGCCGGCGACTACATTGGGTGTTCAAGATCTCAGTGTAGCCCTGAACCTTTCTCAGGATGAGCTATTAAACACAAAAACAATATCCTGGGTTGGTATACTTTAGTTAACAAGAACAGTTAGCCAGAAGCAGAACTACAGAACCAAAAATCAAGGTTAGTACATTTAGATATTTTCCCAGCACTATAAACTTTGATAGATTAAGTCTCTGTTTTAGTTTTAGCAGATGGTGCTGCTTACATGCTGAATTTTATGTCCCGATTGGCACTTTTATTGTAGAATCGGTTGTGCTAAGATCTGGAGACCTGTTACATACGTACATGTGTGCCTTATGTTCCCAAGTGTAGACAGAGACCAGAAAAGGGCATCAAATCCCCTAGAGCTAGATTGTCGATGGTTGTGACATTCCTGATACGGGTGCTGGGAACTAAACTCAAGTTTTCTGGAAGAGCAGAAAGTGCTCTTAAGCGCTGAGCCATCTCTCCAGTTTCCCTTTAACCTTTACTCTATTTATTTATTCGGCATGTGGGAGTGGGGCAATGGGCATGTGGAGGACACAGAACAACTTGCAGACACTGGTTCTTTCTTTTACCACATGGGTCTTGAGGATCAAACTAAGGTTGTCAGACTTGGCTGCAGACCCCTTTACCTGCTGAGGCATCCCATCCATCCTGAGCACTTTCTCCCTGAGCCTGGTTGCTCCACAAACATCATGACTGAAAGCATCGGGGTGATGCATTCCACCGCTTCCTCTGCTGGTCCCAGGAGGGCCCAGATGAACTGAAGAGAAGCCTGGTTTTGTGAAGCTTGGGAGCCTTTCAAAGGAA